TAGAATTGAAAAAGAAAATAAAATAAAATAAAAATAAAAATCATTTTGATAGTTCATGATATTTTATGCAATTCAAAACATTTTGTCATTATAGTATTACTCTCAAAGTTACAATAATTGGATAGTCTTATTTTAGATTAAATTATTAATCAACGTGTAAATTTCAAATGGTAAAGAGTGATTTTTTTGCGATTTGCTCTCTACTTTCGATGTACATTTATGATTCTTTGTGGATAAAAATTATATATTATTTATGGAGGAACAGAACTATATAAACAACTTATTGTGGACAAATATTTTTTATATATATATATATATATATATATATATATATATATATATATATATTATTGATGGAGGAGCCTAACTACCCCGTTATTTTTAATAGTACTATAAAGAACTACCGTAATATATAAACAACTTGCTGTCGGGGGAGTGATGGAATAACCTTTATTGCACATTGAAAACAACTTATTGGGAACTTATTGGGGGACTGTGGACAAATATTATATATTGCTTAAGGAGGAGCAGAACCACCCTGTTATTTTTAATAGGGTTAAATGCTCTTACGACGCTGAAGTATACCTCAACCAATTTAATTTACTCTCACATTCCCTTTCTAAAGTATGGAAAATGTGAGTTTACTATTATGATATGTGTAAACAAAATGTGAAATGACAATATCACCACCTCTATCACCCCACCGTCACCCACGATTACCACCGCCATTACTCACAAGCAAACAGACTATCTACCCCGCATACTAGGAAAGTTGGGTCCAACAAATTTTTAATTTTTTATTTATTTTGAGACTACAGGGGATGAGATCTCTTACCCCGTAAGTCCGGTGAGGGTTCATCAAATCTTACATTACATGTTTGGAAAAAAACAATTGCATATTGATGTGTTAAGCGTATAGGCGTCTGTCATTCTTTTACGGAATTCGCGTAGGAGATGTGAGGCGCACCAATTCCTAATCCACCCCCACCCCCACCCCCACCCCCTCTTTCTCTCTCTATACACACATACTTTCTCTCTCTAGGATACAATCCATCTGGTTGGAATCACCTGAACCAAAATCTATACACTCTAGAGAAATCAGTAACAAATGAACACCATATATATATGTATATATATATATATATACACATACATACATATTTTATCAATTAATAATTATTTTTTATATTAATAATTCTTGTCTAATTAGATTTTCTTTTATTAAAAAACTCATAATCAATATATAAATAGGTAATTTGTGTTAGAATCTTATAAAAACTCTTTTAAACCTCTTTCTATATCAAATAATAAATAATTTTTTTATATTAATAATACTTGTCTACTTAGATTTTATTTTACTAAAAAACTTCATTTACATGATATAATGCATGCAAAACGTCTTGATTTTAATCCAATTAAATTTAGAAAATATTTGGACTTTAAATGATTCACTAATATTTAATTTGAGGCACATTTTTAAATAATTTACAAAAATAATTTTTCGTTTTCCAATAATTGCCCTCTAATTAATTAGTAATCAAATCCAATTAATTTTCATAATTTAACTTATATAAATCAAACCATTTAAATAAATATCATGGATCCAATAAATGAACAATAATAATTAGTAATTAATTATTTCATGCATCACATACAACAATAAATGACAGATAAAGCAAATTAAATGGCCAATGGATTTAGTTTTTAATATTTAATTGCTCTAAGTATTGCATTAGGGCCCATCATTAGCCGCGTCACATGGGATTATTTCCCATCAATCCCTCTTGATCTCCGGCCAAAACCTTGCCGCCGACAACTCTCCGGTCGCCGGAAAATCGCCGAAAAATTCCAGAAATTAAATTAAGCCTCAAAAAATTCCAGAAAAATTTCAAAAAATTCGGAAAAATTCCAGAAAATTACTGAAGCATAATTTAACCCTTTTGGACCTTCTTGAAGCTTCATAGCATTCTTTGATGAATATTACATGGCTTTAAAAATATTTACAACTTGAAATACAATGGAAAAAATAAATTACATCATTGAACTTTCAAACGGCTAAATCAAAACCTTAATTACATTCATCCAAAGATAAAATTACATTCAATGAACCTATAAGCTTCATCCATGGCCCAAACACAAATCATCATCCATTCACAATTATACATACATCATTATCTATCAATATATATCAACATATTAAATCATACATCAACATACATCAATAAAAAATATATATGAATATAATTTTTGGATCCATGAATGATGAATTTTGATAAAAACATGATCTCTAGTAATGAATCAAACCATGCTCTGATACCACTGTAGGGAAACGTGCTAGTTTTAAAAACTTTTCGAGGGATTTAAATTCATAGATCTTGATTTATTACATAAAGACAAGTTTTATGCAAAAATAAAACATGATGTATCATTCAATTAAAAGATTGAATACTTACATCAAGATTTGAGTAAACCTTAGATCTCTCCTCTAAAGTGAATGTTCTCACTTATTGTAGATCCCTTAGCAAGATGCATTCTCCTTGGATCTCCATCTTCTTGGTAATTGTTTTGCCTTTAGGAATTACTCATATGCCTCCATGAATGACCTTGGAAAACCAGGCTTGTGGGAGCCTCCATTAGATGAGAACATAAACCCTAATTTTCTAGAGAGAGAAAATTTATTCCTTTTTCCTTCTTTCCAAAAATCACACCCAAAATATACATAGACCATGTATATTTATAGGCAACATAAAAATAAAGAAAATGAAATCACAAATCCTTCTCAATCTCTAATTCATATGTCTCAAATCTAATATGATTACAATATCAAGTTGGGCTATGAGTGAGAATCCATTGGGCCTATTATTTTATTGGTTACAATGAATTAATAATTGGCCCGGTCCATAGACCCAATTCAATTAATTCATAAATTAATTTCTACTCCACTAAAAGAAATTAATTGAACTCCAATTAAATAATAAATAACCTCTAAGTCAATATTGCACTTTGACCCCTCTATTTTTAATTAGTTATCGGATAAATAAAGCCATCAATCCGACTACTTAATTAATATATTTATTTTGGTACCATTGATTATTTCTGGCTCGATCACAATAAAACATTTGTTTGACAAAAATAATAATTTAAATAAATAAATATATAATAAATCATTTTGTCTAAAAACACACGAAGACCTTCGAATTTACTTTGTAATCAACCATAATCAATACAAAATAAATACAAGTAACAATGATGCAAATATTGAAAATATAACTGTTAACCACTAAATGACTCTAGAGGGGGGGTGAATAGAGTCAATGGCCAATTTTTGCAATTTTTTGAAACTTGTTCTACAACAACTATTATGCAATGATAAATTGATAAATTCAAGCAATATAAAGCACAAGTAAAAGAGATAAAGATAGGAAGATGCAAACAATGAACTCGGTGATTTAGCGAGGTTCGGAAACTCCTACTCCTCGGCTCAAGATCCCCCTTGAGACTTCCCAAATTCACTAGAGCTTCTCCTTAATGGTGGAGAGCAAACCTTCAAATTTGAAGCAAGACCTTGCTCCTTTTCCTTGCTAGGAGAACACCCTTCTCCTAGGCTTCTTTTGGGTCACACCAACCCTTACAAGATTGTAGCAAAGTTTGTAAATGAAATACAAGAATCTCTCTCAAAAGATATACAAGTGCAAGCTCACAACTAGAGAATATCAGAATATTAATGAAGCTCAAGTTCTAGAATGAGAGAAAATAGTGATGGTTGAAAGTGAAAGCTCAGAGAAGAAATTAAATGGCTTATTGAATGCTCTTGAATGCTCTCTTGAATGTATTATCCAGTGGTGTATCTACTTCAGTAAAATGAGCCTTCTTTATATAGACAACCGATGCTTAATATGTCTGTTAGAAGTAGTTGGAAGTCTTAAATGCAGAAAAGTGCCGTTGAAGATTCAAATAATGTAGAAGAGCCGGCTCTACAAAAAATTGGAGGAGGCTCCAATAAATGGGAGGCGGCTCCAATAACTAGGAGGCGGCTCCAATTCACAAAATACATTCTACGACACACACTTTGGCTACTGGAGTGCAAAGAGCAGGCTCCTATATTTGGGAGGCGGCTCCAATCCTTGTGTAAGACTAAGAATGAAACATATTTTGTTCTGTGCACTTCCTATTATGAGAGCATGCATAAGTAAAGTTTATGGAAAGATTTTAGGCCTTCTAAAAACTGATTTTTAGAGAAAATATGCATGAACCTAAAAACTTGAGCTTCAGAAGATATTCAAATATGCTTTAACATTTAAATCTAAAGCTCTCACCATCCTATCTACCCTTTTCTCCATTTCCTGACCATGATCTCTTGAGCTTGATGAAGACTTGCTTTCTTCCTTGAAATTGTTTGATTGATCTTTGAAGTTTGAGTCTTTCTTTGATTTCTTGCAATCTTTGAGGCTTCATTGAGTTCATAGCTTGAGTACTTGAATGCTTGAAATAGCTCATCTAGCTCATCATATAAGATATGAACTATATATAACTCAATGAAAATATTAGTACATAAACATTATTAATGGTTTGTAATCATCAAAACCTTTAGATAAAAATCCTTAGGCCAACAATCTCCCCCTTTTTGATGATGACAAAACATTGATGTGTTTATTGACAAAGTAGAGTTGTATTTGAAAGAGAGCTCCCCCTATCAATAAGCATATCTAAAGTATCATATCATGCTTGATTTCATTTAACTTTTTACAGAATTTTCTTATAAGTCTCCCCCTATCAATATGCATCAATCAAGATCTATATAAAAAGTAGAGTAGGCACATAGCATAGTAGACCACCCATAACAGAAAAAAAAAAAACACATCTTTCTCCCCCTTTGTCATCTCAAAAAGTGTACTTGTATGAGAGAGAAAATACATGCCAATTCATGAACTATTAGTGAATGAGAATTTAAAGGGCAATAAAATAGGAAATATGGCATTTTATAGATTACAGAAGTCAAAACAGTAGATAAGGAAAATATGAACATAACTAGCAGATGTTAGACAAAAGCATAGATCATGATAAAGACTTCAAAAGAAAAACGACATAAGTAAAAACATAGCTAAAAGAAGCTTCTTCAAAGCAGATAAAACAAGTGAGTGCACAAAAAGAGTTTTTAGACGAGGTGATATTGTTCTAAGTAGAAGGAGGAGGGGGTTCAAGGCCTTTTCGAAAGGCTTCAAAGTCTTCACTGATATGAGTGACAGTCATAAGCACTTCGTCAAGTTGTTGTTGTTGATGTTCAAGAGTGGTTTGTTGTTCTTGAAGAGTGGCTTGATTTTGACGAGAAACATTTAGAAGTTCCAATAAAAGATCATGATTTGAGCGATGTGCAACTGGAACATCCTCATCTTCAGCACTGTCATGGCTTTCATGTTCTTCCTCATCCCCATCATCAACATCCTCAATCTCTTCTCCACGAGCTCTAGCCTCTTCGAACCTTCTTTGCCTAGGATAAAACCACATACCATCAGGATCCCTTTTTAGCCCCATTGTGTCTAGATTGAAAGCATTAAGGATATCTCTTGGGCCTAGTTTGGCTGATTCACTTTTGTCAAGTGGAATGTTGTTAGCCATGAAAATGTGGGTGAGAACCATGGCATAGTGGAGTGGAGTGTTTTTCTTTTTCTTGCATGCCAACATGTGATGAAAGATAATGTAGGCCAAGTCAAAATCTTTTCCATTTAAAACACACCATATCAGAAAGATTTCCATGCGAGAGACTTTTGAGCGACTGCCGGTTTTAGGAAGAATGGAGTATGCAATGATTTTGTGGATCAATCGAGCTTCCATAGTCAATTGTTTGGATTTTACTTCTTTAACATTGGTAGTGCGGGAATCATAGCTCATTTGGCGAATGGCTGCTAGTTTGTCAAAATCTTTCCCAGTGAACCATTTTTGAGGAGAGTAGAATTGAATACCATCATCCATAAAATGAAAGATTTTGGAAATGCTTCTAACATCAAGATGGAATTCTACTCCAGCCACATAGCATTGTAACTTCTCTACACCAGGCACTTTCTCAAGGTGGGTGTAGAATAACTGAACAAGTCTTGGATAATACTTGTTTTTCATCCCAACAAATGACCCAAGGCCAATAGCATTAAAGAGATTGTAGGTGTTGAGGTTGAGGTCATCACAAATAGTGTGTGACAGAACCTTTCCTTTGGCCACTTTCCTATGAAGAAATTCTTTCTCATATAGCCTCTTGTGAGTAGGAGTTCTATATAACTTTGTGGCAGAAATTTGAATTGGACTTGGAGGAGGAGTTTTTTCATTTGGGATAGAGTCATGAGATTGAGTGATCCTAGTTTTGCCACGAGCCGGATTCCTTCTACGGGAGGATGATGCCATGGAAACTCAGTAGGGACCTAAACAAGTCACAACTAAACTTATATTAATTTGAAAAGATATGGAGGCATTTTCAAAAGACTTTGAACAACAATTTTTCATATCTAGACAATTTTGAGAACAAAATAATAAAGTAAACTATGTGGGAAAACAAAAAAAGGTTTGTGACCAACAATGTGATTGTCGTTGGATTTTGAAGAATGAAATTTGAAATGTAGACTTAAAAAGGAATTTTAATGGAATAAAATTAAAAAGAAATGAATTCACAAAGCAACCCAAAAAAAAATTTGCTGAAAGGATTAATTTTCTAGGGTTTGATAAAAAATTAAGTCTTGAGAAATTATGACAATTCATGTGGAATTGGTAAACTATTATGGAAATGTAAACCCAAGAGGGAAATTTAACATAATCCACAAAAAAAAATGCTTAGATTCATGAAGCAAGACCAAAATTTTGGATCAAAATATGATATTCCTAGGGTTTGAACATGTAATGTAAAGGAGATTAAACCAAAATTTTGTTCAAAAATGAAAGGAATTCATGCAACAAAATTCAATTAAAGATGAGTTTAAAGCAATTCATGGAGTATTACATCAAAGCATGGATCAATACACATATATGATAGATGAAATAATGAAGAAAGGAGAACAAAAGAGGTTGAAGTTTTTACCTGAGATGAGGAAATTCTTGCACAACAATGAGAGGAGAACAAAATAGGATGCAGGATAAAGGCCACTTGATATTATATGATGGATGAAATCATTTTGAGACCTTAAAAAATGAAGCACTCATACTCATGGTGAAGGAGCTCTCGCGGTTTATACTCTCTGGAAATGGTGAACCTAATGCCCAACAAAAAAAGGCTACTGCCGAAAGCATTTAAGGGGACATAGCAGATTGGAGCCGGCTCATGGAAAAATTGGAGCCGGCTCAAGAGCTTTTTGGAGCCGGCTCTTGATTTTTGGAGCCGGCTCTTGATTTTTATGGAGCCGGCTCTTGATTTTTGGAGCCGGCTCTTGATGATTTTTGAGAGATCCCGAGAGTTTGGACATGGATGCAGGTTTTGGGGAGCCGGCTCATGAAATTTTGTGATCCGGCTCTTAGAGATACCGAGGGTTTGGACATGGATGCAGGTTTTGGGGAGCCGGCTCATGAAATTTTGTGATCCGGCTCTAGAGATACCGAGAGTAAGAATTTGTGATTTTCTTGGATGCAGGTTGGAGAGGCGGCTCTTGAATGAGATGATCCGGCTCTTGTTTTCTATAGAGGCGGCTCTTATTTAGATTGGAGCCGGCTCTGCTGCTGCTACTTCATTGCATGACATTCTGCTCTGTGATCATTCCAATTTCTCTTCTGAGTAGACAGAATCTCTCCTCTTGGAGTGGTTTTGTGAAGATGTCAGCTAATTGCTTTTCAGTGGTCACAAAAATAAGATCAATATCACCCTTAGATACATGATCCCTAAGAAAATGGTATCTAATTTCTATATGCTTTGTTCTTGAATGCTGAATAGGATTTTTAGAGATGCATATTGCACTTGTATTATCACACATAATAGGAATGTGATCAAAATAGAGTCCAAAGTCTTCTAGTTGTTGTTTAATGTAAAGTGTTTGAGCGCAACAACTACCGGCTGCAATATATTCGGCTTCCGCCGTTGATAGAGCTATGGAATTTTGTTTCTTGCAAGACCAAGATACTAATGATTGTCCAATGAAGTGACAAGTCCCGCTAGTACTTTTTCTATCAACTTTGCATCCACCAAAGTCAGCGTCCGAGTAACCAACAAGGTCAAACGATGTATGTCTAGGATACCAAAGTCCCAAGAATGTGGTATAGCTCAAATAGCGAAAAATTCGTTTAACGGCACATAAATGAGATTCTTTAGGACATGATTGAAAACGAGCACATAAACATACACTAAACATGATATCCGGTCTACTTGCGGTTAGATATAAGAGACTACCAATCATACCTCTGTATTTTTTAATATCTACATCAGTGCCTTTTTCATCTTTATCAAGTTTCAAAGATGAGCTCATTGGAGTATGGGCATGTTTGACTTCCTCCAAGCCAAATTTCTTTAGCAAATCTTTAACATACTTAGATTGGCAAACAAAAATGCCATCAAGTGTTTGTTTGATTTGCAATCCTAGAAAAAAAGTAAGTTCACCCATCATGCTCATTTCGAATTCATTCTGCATACTGGAAGCAAACTTTTCACATATCACACTATTGGTTGATCCAAAGATAATATCATCAACGTAAATTTGAATGACCAATAAGTTGTTATCGATGGTTTTAGTGAAAAGAGTATTATCAATTTTACCTCTAATAAAACCATTAACAAGTAGAAAACCACTTAGTCTTTCATACCAAGCTCTTGGAGCTTGTTTCAAACCATACAAGGCTTTTGATAATTTGAAAACATGGTTTGGGTAATTACAGCTTTCAAAGCCTGGTGGTTGATCAACATATACTTCTTCTTCAATGATACCATTTAAGAAAGCACTTTTTACATCCATTTGATATAACTTGAAGTTCTTATGGGATGCAAAAGCAAGGAGCATTCTTATAGCTTCAAGTCTAGCTACGGGGGCAAAGGATTCCTCATAATCAATTCCTTCTTCTTGATTATATCCTTGAGCAACAAGCCTTGCCTTGTTCCTTACTATGATTCCCGATTCATCCTTTTTGTTCCTAAATACCCATTTTGTGCCAATGATAGTTTTGTCTTTAGGCCTTGGAACCAAAAGCCAAACTTTATTTCTTTCGAATTGGTTAAGTTCTTCTTGCATGGCCAAAAGCCAAGATTCATCATTTTCGGCTTCATGAATATTTTTTGGTTCAAGTTGGGAAACAAAAGCTACATAATTGCAAATATTACTCATTTGAGATCTAGTTCTTACACCTTTAGATGGATCACCGATAATTTGATTTATTGGATGATTAAGCACTTGCTTCCAAGCCTTAGGAGGAGTGTCTTCATGAGAGTGACTTTCTTTTGGAACATCTTTGGAGAGATCTTTATGAGAAGGACCATTTAGATCAAGATTTTCAACATTCTTTTCAATCTCAACCACATCTTCATTTTCATCCAATGAGCATCTAATAGGGGATAATGGTGATTCATCAAATACAACATGTATTGATTCCACAACCACTCGTGTTCTTTTGTTAAACACTCTAAATGCTTTGCTACGAGAGGAGTATCCTAGGAAAATACCTTCATCTGATTTAGGTTCAAATTTTCCTAAATTATCTTTGTCATTCAACACGAAGCATTTACACCCAAAGACTTTAAAGTATCCAATATTTGGTTTCCTTTTGTTCCAAAGATCATAAGGAGTCTTATTAAGGAGTTTTCTAATGATGACTCTGTTTATGACATAGCATGAGGTACTGACAGCTTCGGCCCATAGAGATCTAGGAGAATTATGTTCATTTAACATAGTCCTAGCCATTTCTTGGAGAGACCTATTTTTTCTTTCAACAACTCCATTTTGTTGAGGAGTTCTAGGAGCCGAAAGATTATGATTGTATCCATTTTCATCACAAAATCTTTCCACATCTTGGTTGTCGAACTCTCTACCTCTATCACTTCTAATGGACTTGATCTTACATTCTTTTTCGTTTTCGACTCTCTTACAAAATTTAGTAAAGATTGTATGAACCTCATTTTTATGTGTAAGGAAAAATACCCAAGTGAATCTAGAGAAGTCATCCACAATGACAAATGCATAGAGTTTTCCACCAAGACTAGCAATTCTCTCCGGACCGAATAAGTCCATATGAATTAACTCTAGTGGTCTTGAAGTTGTTATATCCTTTTTCCTTTTAAATGATGACTTGATTTGCTTGCCTATTTGACATGCGCTACAAGTTTTATCTTTAGAAAAATTAGTCTTTGGGAGGCCTTTGACCAATTCATTCTTAGATAGTTTTGAAATCAAATCCATACTAGCATGACCTAACCTTCTATGCCACAACCAACTATCCTCATTTGAGGATACAAGACACTTGACATCTTGATCGTGTAGTTCACATAAAAGCAAAGAATATACATTACCATTTCTTAGAGCATGGAAAACTTCAACATTATCCTTTTTGACAATGCATTTGTCCGACTTAAACAAGACATCATATCCTTTATCACATAATTGGCTAATACTAAATAGGTTATGTTTTAAGCCCTTAACAAGTAATACATCATCAATAGATAGGGAGGAGGAGATACCAATAGTTCCAATGCCAATGACCTTGCCTTTTGAGTTGTCACCAAATGTGACGCTTCCTCCTTTATGAGGTTTGATGGAGTGAAATTTTGATTGATCTCCCTTCATATGCCTTGAACATCCGCTATCAAGAAACCATTTGTCCTTGCATAAATATGGAGACTTCAAGCAAACCTACAAAAGGAATTTGAGTAATCTTCTTTTGGTACCCACATTCTCTTGGGTCCATGAGAGTTAGGAAGAGGTGTATAAGTCCCTTTAATGACCCAAATTACTTTTGTCCTACATGGCCTAATAGGACAATGATTGATCTTATGTCCTATTTTTTTACAATAATTACATTGTGGACTAAAAGATGAATTTTTAACAAAGTAATTGTTCAAAGGTTCTCTCTTTTTCAATAAACAAGAATTTTTGTTGTGAGGATCAAATCCAAGTCCATCCTTGGCATAAGCATTTCTTTGCTTTCCAAGTATGAGACCCAAATTTTCTCTACCTTTTGTGAATTTTGCTAAGGTCTCAATTTGATCTTCAATCATAATTTTTAATGATTTATTTTCAGAAATTAAATCTATTGAAATCGATTCTTTAGCTAATTCTTTTTCCTTTTTCAAAGCTTCATTTTCAAGTTGAAATTTTTCAAGGTTTTGAGAGATGATATTCTTTTCCCTTTTTAGAGTAGCACATTTTTGAACCATTTTGCCTAATTCATCATGCAATTCTCTAAAGGCATCTAGCAAGTAATTGTGTGCATCAACCAATTCATCATAAGTAGTTTCCAAATTAAATGAGTCATGATTGGAAATTACCTCATCGTCATCGGCCATGAGACAAAGATTAACCAATTCATTGAGTTCATCGTCACTTTCGGATCCATTTGAATCATCATCCTCCCATGTAGCTTGCATGGCCTTTCTTTTCTTTTTCCTTTCCTTTTCATTTTTATAGGCATAGCAATCGGATTTGAAATGCCCCGGTTTTCCACAATGGAAGCAAGTAGGTGCTTCTCTTTTTCCTTGCTCACTAGATGACCCATTTCTTTTGAAGTTGTTGCTCTTTTGGAACTTCTTCATTTGAAGGATTCTTCTCACGGTTTTGGTAATGAGAGCAACTTCTTCTTCTTCTTCATCATGAGGAGCCTTATCAATTGCAACTTCTTTGGTAGTAGCTTGTAAAGCTATATCCTTCTTTTGAGTTTCTTCATCTCTATCATTCATTTCTAGCTCGTAAGCCATTAGTGAACCAATGAGTTCGTCAATGGGAAGTGTGTTAAGATCTTTGGCTTCTTGGATGGCGGTCTTCTTTGCTTCCCAATTCTTTGGCAAAGATCTAAGGATTTTTCTTACATTGTCGGATGATGCATATTTTCTTCCAAGAGCTTTCAAAGGATTAACAATGTTAGTAAAACGAGAGTACATTTCACTAATAGTTTCTTTGTTATTCATGGTAAAAAGTTCATATTTATGGACAAGCATATTCATTTTGGATTCCTTAACATGACTAGTACCTATATAGGTAACTTCAAGTTTATCCCAAATTTCTTTAGCCGTTTCGCAATCCGAAATTCTATTGAATTCATCTTTGCTTAAGGCACA